GTGAAGCCAATGGACAACTATGAGCTGAGTGCGCGACATCAGCAGATGCGGAGACGGCTCAACGGGCAAACAAAGGGACTACTGGAAGCGCGACAAGATGCTGCAGGTACGGATTACTTTGGCTATCGAGTCGACTTTTTGCATCGAACAGTGCACGACTTTCTTCGGACAAACGACATGCAAAAGCTATTGGCTGGGAAGACCAAAGCTGGATTCAATCCCGAATTGTCCATACTCCGGGGCTACCTTATCTTGCTCAAAGCCATGCCTCTGTCACAACGACGCGTTACAGATCAATCGGGACCCGTGCAGCAGCTACTGGAAGAAGCTTTCTTCTACGCGAGAGAAATAGAGATACGGACAAAGTCAGCAAACCAGGATGTGATGAACGAATTCGGGGCGGTGATTGATGCCATCTCAAAAGAAGCAGGGCAAGACTTTGTCTGGTATCGAGATAGCGCCGTTGGCGACTATGACTTGGTCAGCGACAACGTACGCAAAGCAGCGTGCAGTTCCTTTTTCGAGTACACAATCCAGAAGGGTCTACAGGTATATGTGGAGCAGAAACTGCAGGCAAACCCGGACATCAAGCTGCCTAGCGGTCGACCCATGTTAGACTGTGCGTTGCGGATATGTCCTTCCAAGTTCAGCGGGGAGATTGAGCTGTTGGACATGGTGCGCTACCTTCTCAAAGCAGGCGCAGATCCCAACGAGATGTATGGGCACTGCTCGATATGGGGCCGCTTCCTGCTTCAGATTTCAAATTTGCCTTGTGGCCGACGTCCGACACAGGACGTCCCGAGCACGCTGCATCGACACCGCCTCATTGAGCTTTTGCTCCACCACGGCGCTGATGTCAACGTGGTATACGACGACAAGCCTTTGTTTGCCGACTACATCATGTTTGTTGCCAATCACCGGCCTTGTGAAGAAGTGGAGCAAATCCATCTGCAAACCATTGACCTGTTCATTAGCCACTGTCCTGATCTAGGCGCAAAGCTAAGCAAACGATGTTCGCTCTTAGGCCGATTTTTCATGTATAGCATTGGACAGCAAGGCAGCGCTACCCCAGACTTCCGGCGCCGAATGTGGCAACATATCATGCCTCTTGATGAAGAGGATGAAGAGAAAATGGCACAGTGCGAGACGTATGTGGCGCAAATGCGGTTTTTGGACAGCAAATGGCAAGAGAGGCAAAAGTTGCAAGACGAGAAGATATCGAACAATCAGACCTCGATGGTCAGGGGATCGTACAAATGGGTGGGCTGGATGCTATCGTGGGCATGGAAGGGCGTTTAAGAAGGTGCTTCTGGAACCTGAGGAATGGCATGCTAGCTAGTACACTAACCAAGTGTTAATAAACAGAGAGTATTTGGCGCAACATTGAACACTGACAAGAAGGCACAAGACGTGCATCGTTGTGGGCATGCGGATGCCGCAGTGCAGGATGCTACACGTCCAAGCAAACGTCGTTGACGGCGGTCGTCGACAGCGGACGTGCGAGTCGACGCCTCGTCTTCTTCCTCAACCCGCTGCGCCAGGCAGCAGAATCAATGAAAAAGAGATGCCACAGTGGCAGACCAGCAAAAATTGCCCCGCTGAAGCCCCCGAAGGAGATTCATGACAACACCACACCCCGCTGTGCAATGGAGGCGACGTTGTCAGACCACTGAATACTTGAGCTCAGTGCGTCGCAAGAAGGTAAGTATGAGGAGTCGAGAAGGGGACGGGCGACGGCCGGCTTATATACCCGCTGGCAGCCCGCTAGCGCTGCGCTCACGTGATCGCTTAGCCTAGGCACCCGTGCCCAGTGCCCGGACCCGTGCGCACCTCCGCTGGCCAGAGCTTTTGGCAGTTTCTGTCACGACGATTTTTCTCTCTGCATTGCATGCCGCCACTCGTCTCTGTAGAGATGGGCGTGCGTGTGACACAGGTTAGTACCATCCCCCCTCTTCTTCTGCGCCCATGTGCCCTGTACTCTGGCTGCTCGTCAGGCCAATACAACCCTCTTCACATGATGATCCAAAACAACCTTAGAACCGTTGCGAATGACGCCTTTCGGGGCGGTTGACTTCACCATACCCTTTACTGAACCCTCTCGACTACCACCGTTCTCTCGGACGAATCAATGCGCACTGTGGCTAACAAGACCATCAGGAACCATGAGCACACCAGCCTTCAACTTCCTGCGTCCCTACCTCCATGGAGCCAGTCGGTCTCTCAAGCCGCACCATGCTCAAGCCTACATTGCGCTTCAGAAACGCTTCGTGCAGAGCATAGCCGCCGACGCATACACCGGCCCGCACGATGTTGAGAAGCAGAAGCGGCTTGACCACTTGGCAAAAGTAAAGCCATTGGGTGACTATCATCCAAGACTGGTCTACTCGGCCAATGCCCAGAACCTGTCGGTGCGCGACTTCAATGCAAAGTATCATGACATATCAGAAACCACAAGTGATGTCGTGTCCGTGTTTGGTAGGATATGCCACCTCCCGTGAGCAAAAACATTCCCGTTCTGACAGGGTCAGGAAGGGTGCGCTCAGTGCGGCTGCTTAGCTCCAAGTTGATGTTTCTTGATGTCGAGCGCGATACACAGCGACTCCAAGTCATGGTCGAGTTGAAAAAGCTCGCGCCGCAGGACGGTCTTGACGAAAGCTTCAAGAACTTCAAAAAAGTTGCTAGAATCGGCGATTGGATTTGTATGTCATGTTGCCGTCTCTGCCTGGGATGTATGCTAAGTTGTGGCAGCAATCAACGGCAATCCAACCAAGACCTCAACCGGGCAACTTTCCATCCTCGCCCTCCAAGTGCCCCAGGTCCTTGCCCCTTGCCTTCACCACCTGCCCGAGAAGATTGAAGATGCCGAGACGCTTGCGCGACGGCCGCACATACATGCCCTTACCAACGACGAGCCAGGTGACATTCTTCGTCTGCGAGCACTCATATATGACTATGTCCGTACCTACTTTATCGAGAGCGGCTTCATGGAGGTCGAGACACCCATGTTTGACGTCAACGCTGGAGGCGCAATTGCCCGTCCCTTTGAAACTGTAGCCAACGAGCTCTCCAACATACCAATCCGACTGCGGATAGCGCCCGAGCTGAATCTGAAGCGCCTCATCATCGGAGGGCAAGACAAGATTTTCGAAATCGGGCGCGTCTTCAGGAATGAGGGCGTGGACAACACACACAATCCCGAATTCTCCACGTGCGAATTCTACGAGGTCGGCGCCACATTGCCCATTGTCATTGCCCGGACGGAGCAGTTGATCCACGGTCTACATAGCGCAATCGAATCACTGCGCTCAACATATTTCCCTACACTAACATGCCCGGAAGGTGTGGACTTTTCACAACCCTTTGCACAGCTCCCATTTATTCCCACGATTGAAGAAGCCAGCGGCCGCAAGCTGCCCGACCTCGCATCACCCGACGCTCCGAGCGAGGTGTTACAGCTCTACAAAGAACTCGGCCTCGAAATCCCACCAAACCCAACATTACCGCGTCTACTCGACGGTCTAGCAGAAGCGTACATTGAGCCACTATGCCAGAACCCCACGTTCATCACGCAGCACCCGGAAGCTCTTTCGCCACTGTCCAAATCGTATGTGGATGAAGTGACGGGCCAGCGCGTTGCTTCGCGCGTGGAACTGTTTATCCATGGACGCGAATACGTCAATGCGTACGAAGAAGAAAACTCGCCGTTTGAGCAGCGAAGAAAATTTACGCAGCAGCTTGACTTTCAGGCCGATGGACACGGGTCCATTGACGAAAGCTATCTTGAAGCGCTCGAGTGGGGGATGCCGCCAACAGGGGGCTGGGGCTGTGGACTGGATAGGTTGGTGATGCTATTTGCAAACAAGAAGCGCATTGCAGACGTGTTGCCTTTTGGGACGCTGAGGAATGTGGTTAGTATTTCCAAGATGAAGTGAGGTGCGGACAGAAAGAAGCAGATGAATAGATGAATAGATGTAATGACGTCACGAATGACCCAACGATTGACATTGAATGCAACTGTGTGATGATGAGTGTTGAGAGTAAGACGGGAGTTCAATTGCCAATGCTCGGCAACCTCTTTTTGATTTCTAAAAACAAAACAAACGGGCGCTTCTTGCATGTACACGGCGTCTAGGTATGTATGTACATATGTACACGCGCATAGTCCAACAAAGTTTATTCATTCTATTTTCCCCGAGGCAGACTTGCTTCACAATGCATTTTTGATATTGTGAGACAACAAACATGTGTGTGTGTATACATGTGTCGGTGTGCTCAAGGTAGGGCTGACGGGGCACAGCAAGAGGCCAACCTTGTTTCGCCTGGCTTTGCAGTGACTTGTTGGTTAGATAGAGACAAAAAAGAAGCCTTTCCAAGGGACTAAAAGAGTGGTCCTGCTCGGAGAATTATCGCTGGAAACTGCGTGTCATGTGTGAAGCGGTGGGGGATGGGGCGTGGCCGGTAGATTTAGTGTGGCGTGTTGGGTTGCGGTTGGGTGATTGGAGTTGGGCTGTTGGACTTGTCCAATCGGTTGGTGGTTGGCTAGGCTCCTGGGATTAGTATAGTATCTAGTAAGTTACATGAGAAACGTGGTTGACTGTGCCTTGAAGAGCATGGTCTGTTGGTAGTTGGTGGCAGAGTATGGCATTTGTTGGGTAGTTGGCCAATTGATTGGACACTAGAACGCCTCGTTGAAGGCTCTGGTATACTACTATGTCGTGGATGGGACGCCTTGGCTGCTAACCACAACAATGGCTTCTGGCGTGGCAGTCACTACAAGGGATCGCCGTCCGGCCATCGTCTATCGCGTCTTTTGACACATGAAGCCATCTAAACTTGGATATATCCAGTGCGGGTTGGTGGCTAATGTGGGCGTAGGTGTGAATGTGCCAAAGAGACAATGGCAATAAGCGCCGAATAGTGCGAGGGCGGGGCTGGCTCGGTTGGACGAGTGGTAGTGCATGTACGTAGACTATTCTAGAGTGAGTACACAGAGTCAGAGTCGTCAACAAGCAAGTGGGGCATCAGACGCATCGACGGCAGTCGCGTCTCGTGCCCTATGCATGGGCCATTGGTGCCTTTGACGTCGCCGGCAATGGCACAGTTGGGCGGGATTGGGTTTGTCAGTGGGCTCGGTGCAGGCGAGAGACGAGTCAACGTGGGCAGTGCCCATCTGTCTCGTGTTCATCATTTGGGGAGGCTGAAGCTGTTGGTCGAGTAGAAAATCAACCTCCACGGCGCCTATTGACAGGCATTGTGCGCGGCTAATGTCAACCGCGGGAGCGGCGCAGGTCGCATCATCAACAAGGGCTGCTGCATCGTACGCGTGTGCGAATGCAGAGAGAAAAAAACTAAAAAACTAGCCAACAAGGGAGCCTCGTCTCGGAGAGGAATATGGTGCACAAGGTGGTGGTGATCCTGGTAGGCTGGGAAAGGAAAAAAAAGTTGGAAATACCATGATAAAGTTAACATCAGCCAGCTGATTGGCTAGTACTCAGGCATCCGAGCACATGGTAGCGGGAGAAAGCCGAACGCGTGTGCGTGTGTAAAAGGTGGAGATGAGCTAGTAGCGGGAGTGAGTGTGTGTGTGTGTGTGTGTGTGTGTGAGGGACGGTAATGAATGCTACAGGTATCAACATGGCATCGAGAAGAGGCTCTGGCCATGCCATGGGCTTGCGGGCGGCTGCGAGTGAGGAGGGCAATCACAAGCGGACGAGATGGATTTGCTGCAAGGCGGCCACGTCGATGGCGATGGGGCCGGGACTGGAGACTGAGCACATACGGCCAGACGGGGGAGACGCTGCTGTGCCGCATCCTCACAGCAGTCTCCATGCACATGATGGAGCGTTTTGAGAGAGGATGCATTAGCGTCTTACCCAGACCAGTCCTAGCCCTCTGCAGCAACGTTGGCTGATATGGGAGGTGCTGATGGTGGTGGTGGTGGTGGGGGTAATGATGATGATGATGATAGTGACGATGGCGACGGAAAAGGATTGCTACACGATGGAAGAGTAAGCCGACTTGTCCCACGAGCCCCGAACTGCAACAAGCCGCAGGCGTTCGCCCGCCAGGCCGGTGAGCCGGATCGACCGTATGGGATCCAGCGTCGTGTCTCTGGCACTCAGGCAGAGGACGCAGCCTGTCGGCGGGCGCTTAAAACTGCAGTTGATCCTGGAGCCCAGCCCCCCCACCGCGGACGGCCATTCGTCTGATGTGCCAAGTGGTGGTCAACGGCCAGCTGTAAGCGGGCCATGGGCCGCTGTCGAGGGCGTTCGCCTGCCTAGCTAATAACTCCTTCAGCTTGACGCCTGCCCCGACCGACCTGAGCTCACCGTCTCCACCGAGGCAGAGTTGCTGTGTGTTGAAACAACCACCACACCCGCCACCACTTCCACTTCCCCTTCCACTTCCATTTCCACCTCCCGCCGCCGCCGCCACTCCCCAGCACATTGAGCCCCCTCCGGCAGCTGGCCTGCTCTGATAAGCCTTGTTCCGTCTCTCTTTTTACCAAGACGCCCAACGTCTTCGCGCCGCGCATTGCCTTCTGATTCCTGACTCGCTGCTCAGCCTTGCCCTTGGTCAACCCACCACTGCCTAGCACCTCTGACTGCGGCGCTGACCCGGCGCAGCTCTGGCGCTCCCTCCTCATTGTCTCCCCCCTTAGAACAAAGAGCCGCCTGAGGCATGGCAACCGCGACGCAGCTCATGCCGTCACCAAGTGGCCTTAAGTCCATGTCGGCCTTTAGCCCCTACACGGACTCGCCCAGTTCGCCCGGCACTTTTGCCCACGTCTTTTCAAATAGGTGCCCTCCCCCCCCCACTCGGAGACCAATGCGACTGTCCCACTAACATGGACTCTCCAAGATCTTCAGGGCATGCCTCGGAACACCTCCAGCCACCACCCAGCCCGTATCCGGCAACCATAGACCCTTCCCCCGTCGACAGCAACGGCACTAGCCACACTGACCACACCGAGGTACGCGACGTGACGGGTGCAACTGATGCGACGCGGGGCTGACCCCACTACAGATTGAGGACGATGCGCAGGAAAACACGCCTAGCGAGGACGGCATGAGCGACATACGGTCCCCGGTTACTGACGACATTGTGAGCCCGGCCAGCCAAGACGGTCACGCAAAGGCATGTCACAACCACCTTGAGAAACATGCGCTTCACACTCTAATACGCCTAGCAGCCACAAACCCACAAGCTCAACACCACGGTCCGCCGCGCAGATTCCGATGATGCGCCTCCATCTGTCATCCATGCCCCGGACAGCTTCAAGCAATTCGTAAGACCCCTCTTTGTTGTCTAGTTGCTGTTGCACAACATGGCTGATGTGTGGACCAGAGTCGAGTGGGCACTTCTGGCGCCTCGTCCAGCGCAAACACGTCGGATAACACCGTCGTTGTATCGCCGTCGACACCAGAAGCAAACATGCTGCCCGAAATGGACGACAAGGTTAGCTTACCGCTGGTCTTGATGCACTTAGGGTGACTAACAGCACACAGGACTCGTCTTCATCCTCTGCATTCACCGCTCCAATTGACACCGCAGTCTCCAACTCCGTTGCTCCAGATCGTAGCACACCGCGGGCACAAACCCGACAAGATTTCGAAGAGGACCTTAGACGACGCAGTGCTCGCAAAAGCTTGAACCTTGCTGGTACGTGTGCAGATCCATTGTATTGGGCGCTAACTTACATTCGTAGACATTGCAGAGTACGAAGACAACATAGCCACTGATTCTTCTTCGAGCTCTGTCATTGATCAGGACGACAGCCAGTCTTCACAGTCACAGGATGGCGAGTCAGCTTCAATTGGCACCCAGACCATGGGAGAGGCAATCATTGGAATTCACGAGACAGAGAAGGAAGTAGCCGGTCTTCGAAGCGCTCTGGACGAATGCTGGATACTGTGCAACTCACTAGCAAAGTTGAGCCAACGTCATCGAACGCGTATGTTCCATTACTCTGGCGGAAGCGCTGATTCGCAGGAGCATGCTTGGAGGACTTGTTGGCGGTTATGCCAGAAACTCTATGACAGCCGAGAAGAGAACCGCACAGCACAGATTCAGCCCACTTTGGAGCTTTGCCGTGACTTTTGTCAAGCACTGTTTGATGTGCGCCAACGAGGCGATGAGGCGGCGGACTCAGTCCTCCGAGTCAGCTTTGAGCTCAACAACCATCTCTACAATGCTCACGACCGCACATTGCCCGAGACTTTCCGTGAACGTACGCTCGACTTTTACTTGACCCTCTGCCATCGCCTAATGAAACAACGAACTTCGCTTCCCGAGGAGACGGATTCACTCTTGCATGCTTGCTGGTCGCTCGCAGAAATGCTGTTTAGCCTCCGTCAAAACAGCCGAGACGGTAAACCCCCTGATGAGGAATTGCTAGGGTCGGCCATCCAGGCCTGCTGGGAGTTGTGTGACTTGTTCCGTGAGGGATGGACACAAGTTCGACCTGATCGCAGCACCCCGCGACCGTCTCAGCACAGCTTTTCGGCAGGACGCAGTTCCATGTCACACCGATCCCAGAGCGCATACTCCGAACGGTCTGCGAGGTCTTCGAGCATCAATGAATCATACCACTCGGCCATGCAAACCAGGAGAGCAACCCCAATGCAACCAGAGACTCCGACTACCATTTTCGACGACCGTGAAGAGTTTTCTCCCTCAGACGAGCCCAACGTTCCAAACATTCTGGTTCTCGGCCCAGAGGCCGGCCTGACGCGAACCCACGATCGTTGGTCTTCGTCTTCTTCTAATCTCTCAACATACTCCGATGCTTCGGTACACACATCTTCTACTGCCACTGCTGGTCGAGAAGATCCTGCTCTGATACGCCTGAAAGGGCTCATTGTTAAAGCAGCCATCAACACTGGCTACAACCGCCAAACACCACTCCCAGACTTCATTCGCGCACTACCGTCAAACAGCTTTGGGAACGAACCATGGCAAACTGAATTGTTCGACAACTATCGGAAGCTTGTACTCAAAGACGCAGCTCTACGCAGCATTCACACGCAACCACTTCGCCGATTGACAGCACTTGAGATTGGACGGTCTGTGCAATGGTTAGGTAAAAACGAATCTTTCAAGTGGCTCACAGAGCTATATCGATTTGTCTTCGGAGCCTATCCCGAGGACAGCAGTCAACGCAATCTCATCATCAACGCTTAACGAGGGACCACTTTGCGTCACATACGGCCTTTATGTTTTTCCATTTCCTTCGACCATGGGTGCTATTTTGAACGGGCTGCCTTATTCGATTTTTCGCCATATACCCTCAACGCTCTTTCCTGCATGCGCCTCTATCGGTCCCAGCATGCTGTCATGATGCTGTAGATTACGGATTCGCATCTTCTCTTCTGTGTATACCTTGACAAGCAGCGGTCTTTGTTCTTGTTCTTCAGGCTTTCCTCTAGGTATACGACCTTTATCTTATAGTTATAATCAATGCAACGCTCTTGTTTCATTGTATGCATTGCCTGCATTGCCTGCAATTGACGTCCATGTGTGTAGCATGTTGTTGTTGTTGTTGTTGTTTGGCACTGGGCGACTTGCAAGTAAGTCATTTCCAAGACAATGTGAGGTGTCAAGATGCTCCGTGACTGTTTACAGCCCTACTGCAAAGCATGCCATGTTCTGCGAATGGTGGGCGCAGTATTGCCAAAAAGTGAAATGTCTTGGCACGAACACTGATTGATGAAGCACAGACCGCCGAACCACTGGCAGCTTGTCGCGAACTCCCCGCATCGCGACTTTGCAATCTTAGACTCAGTATGTAGTTCCCGGTAACATCAGGTAGCGCAGCCTAGATCTTGCAATGCCGACGCGCGCAATAAAAGCTATTTTCTATACGCGCTTCCACCATGAAAAGGGTACGCATCTCTGGGGATTTTTTGGGGACCTGCGCTAACTCCGCTCCCAGGGAACCGCGTACTCCACCAAGTCCCTCCGGGAGCCATAATTCCCTCTACCCTGCCCTCCGCCTTGACTACACCACTGTTTCCCTTCTCCTCTGTCACTCAGTATCTCATACCCACACAGCAATTCTGCGACCGCCTGCTCACATTTTGCGTAAATCACCACCGCGTTATTGGCTATCCAGTTTGCATACGAGAAGGTAAATACAGTAGGAATGAATTTATCTTCAACTTTGCTATAGTGATTGGCGAGAATGAACGCGACTGGGCGTGCTATGGGGAAGTGGCGCGAAAGCTGGGACGGCTGCTAAGGGGGTTAGAAGAACAGGGTGGATTTCTGAGCAAAGAAGAGGTTGGTGTCTGGGACGATGATGGAGGTACTATCGACGCAGGCCTAGACAATGGTGTTTGTGGATTTGGAGTAGGCGGTGGAAGCAAAGTGTATGCGCTGTGTGAAATGGTGCTGGAAGATCTGAATAACTATGCCGAATGCATGATACCAATTGGTAGGTTATTTGTGCCCATGAAGAACAATGTGTTGATCAAGTGCTAGACGACTCCAACACGATCAACCTGAAGCTGTTCCCTACACGACCTCCTCCGCCACCCATCCTCGCCCATCAAGTCCCACTGCTTACAATCTCCCTATCAAGTCTACAGCAACCCGTATCTTCGGATCTTACACTGAACCGGATCCTCCCGTATATCAACGGTATCAACTCGATAGCGCACATTGCACAGCTTGCTGATACTGACCTCTCGTTGACACGGAAAGCGATTCAGCATTTGGTATATTATGGATGTCTTGTATTGCTGGATATCTTCAGCTTTGGGGCAATCTATGCACCAACAGCAGAGATTGGTGGCTTCATTATAGATGCAGAGGTAAAAGACGAATGCATGCGCTATGTCAGGGTGCCGAGGATGAAGTTGGGCCCTAACGCGAAATCCGTCTGGATGGACAATGAGTCTACAGATCTGAGCCAAGACGGGCGCAGTTCCATCTCTTCTTCTTCTGCATCACAACTTAGCGAGGCGGTGGGGTCTACGCTCAAGATTTCGGAATTTGATGCCCACATTGCAGCACAGAAGAAAGAGGAGGAAGAGGAAAAGGCCATTCAGACCAGTCATGAGACCCTGATAACATTATACACTTCACTGCGCCAGGGCCTCACGCTAAAGAACTGGGTGCTGGAGAATCTGGACCTCCTCTCTGGCATCGACGTGCGCCGTCTCATCACCTTTGGCGTCATCAAAGGCTTCCTCTACCGCGTGCACAAATACGCAATCGCAACATCATCTACTCTCCCGCCCGCACCCCCGACCAGCCTGCAAACAAGCACAGCCACTTCTCTCGCCAATCTCCGCGACTCGGACACTACCACCATCCGCGGCGCCGACCGCATCCATCACGCTTCCCAGCCAAGCATCCACCACCATCATCACCACCCTTCCTTCTCCATTCACAAACCCAGCATTGCTTCTATCACGCCTCAGCACCTCCAACAGCAACAACAATCAAGTCCCCACCACCTTGGTGCACCCAAAACCGAGGAAGCTCACCACCAGCTCCTGCACAATAGCGGGATTATCGACGATCGCGACACGAGCGGCCTGCCTTTGCTCAAGTTTCTTGATGGCATGCATTGCTTTGATGAGATTTGTACCGACTTGGGACTGGCGGAGCGTGTGGTCGAGGGCAAGATAAGGGGGATGGGTGATGGGGCGGGTGTTGTAGTGCATAGGTAGTGTTGGCATCAGTACTATGTTTGGTTTACAGGGAATTGGATAGTCCATGTCTTGTTTAGATGCATGCTGGCAGTGTTATCGTTAACTCGGCGAGAAAGACTGTTGAGAGGTAATAACCGGCGGACTAGTAGACACATGAGTGAGCACTGGCGAAAACCCGCTGTTGCATGTTTTTACTGCTTTTTTCCCTTCCTTTTTGTCGATATTTGGGTGAAAAGACATGGCTGAAGAAGTGCAGAAAAGAGTGGGATTTATGGTGCTCGATAACTATAGGTAATCACTCCTGGCTACTCCAGTAAAACACCAGGCTTTCAGGCGCCGCATCCGGACCCGATCCTTCCCATTGTGTAGATAATGCCTTGCTCGCGAGACAGTAGCCTAATGTGATACACAGCCATACTTATGGCCATGCAGCAGCCACTTTCAGAGTGTGTAGTTTGCTATGTGACGTTGAAAGTCATTTCACGTGCTCATCGCTGGCCGTGCGCGAGACACAGTTTACCGTGACTTCTAATAGTCGCGTGGTACCCTGCCTGCACATACTCACTTCATGACGTGTTTATGCTCACTTCTCCATCGCTTCAACTTGCGTATCGAGCAATGGATAGCCCGTTCGCCAAAGCTGATCTTCACCATCCAATTCACCTGATATATTGCTGATCCTTGGCAGATTTCGACCCTAGTCATGGTGGTACCTGTCGTGAACATCCTCGCCTTCTTAGATCTCTTTCACACAGTTACCGACTATCTCCAAGTGAAGAGAGGTATCCGGTCGCACCGGGTGAATATATGGGTTGCTCACACAAGCAATGCGACATTAGCCATGGTTGCTCCAGCTCTTGCTGCAGCTCCTGGTATCGGCTTGTCAGTTCGATGTAGATAAAAAAAATCATTGCAAAATACCGACGTTTGTTTGACAGCATGCAGCCTTGTTCGTCCATGGAACCGGATCTGGAGCTCGTTTTTCGATCTTCGCAGTTTTTATTGGGTTCGTCAGCAGCATACAACTAACGGGTATACTTTACGCAATGGTTGCGACTACGGACGCTATCGCACACATAGTTGCTAGCAGTGCGCCCAAGGACGCGCTCTTTCTATCGAAGAAAAATGGCTTGCTCTGCTTTTTTTGGCGCTTACTGTAAGCTGATTACAGCAACTCTTCGTCGTGTCAACCCATACTTCTAGTGTGTTTTCATCTCAGCTCTCGCGTTCTTGTGTCTATTGAAAAGAGCCCGAGTGGCCCATTCTTGACGATAGCCTATTTGCAAAACAAGGTGCACTCCTTTCTGGCGATGAACGAGATAACGCCGTCAAAGAGGCTTTGGCCTACGCCAAATGAAGAGGTACCTGTGACGGCATTTGAAGTCTTACAGTACACTATTTATGTGATTCAGTACATGCACGCGTGGATATGGCTTCCTGTACGTATGACTAGTATCTCCTGCCTTTTGAAAGGCCCAGTAATTATCCTGCCACCACATTCTCATCGATCAGCGCGCCTTCTTTGCTGCCCCTAAGGATCGCGGTGGGTCATCCAGACTCCTGATTCGCCAGGCAAATCTCGTTATCAGCGATGATACCCCACGCCCTTTTGCCTTTTTCGATTTTTACGTTACGTACCTAATGTTGTTGTCTTCTGCCGAAATGTACTGTGAACAGATAACCAGAATATGCAGTTCACTATAGGAATTGATGTATTTACCGCTTGCTTTAAATCTACTACAGACAGCTAGTAGTAGTGCTGTCTCGAACGTAAGAAACTAGCATTGCTGTCAACAAACCCATGGCGACCTTACAGTTCATCGAGATGTACATCCAGGTTCAAGATAAACCCAGAATTTTGCTTATAACCTGCCTCTAGAAATCGTTTTATAGGCATATAGGTCCTTCGTTTGCTAGGCTCAAACTCTCCGTCAGAGCTTTTGCCGGCAAAGGTTGCTAAATCCGGGTATGTTCTCCGATTGCTAACAGGATTCTATGGTGTTATCCTCAAGGAAATACTGTTAATAACTCTTGTTCCATAGTACATTGTAATTTCCGTGAATCCGATGCACATACATGTCATCTAATGATATGAGATCTCGCGCTTTGTCGAGAGATGCATATAGTCCAAGAGGACCAGCGGCCAACCTTGCAGTGGACCAAACAAGTGCCCTCAGATACTGTCATTCTCAGCACAACGCATTAGCGGATTCTGGGTAGTCCGATGAAGCATGAGTATAAGATATATAATCACTTCATTACTACCCCTCTGCCTTTCGACATATCTGTGTAGCCGCGAGCGGCTAATGCATCTTGGACCTCGGAGTACGACCCATCGGGAGTCATATCCAGCAGAGCCCCACGTCACAACCAGTAGACAATTCTCTTATCGCAAACCGTCCAATTAATCAAAACGTACATCCCGGACGGGCTGCGATACAGCTCCGTTGGTGGGGCGAGGTGCTGTTTCCTCTTAGAAAACAAATGATTCAGCGACACTGATGCTGAATTTCTGGAAAATTAGCAGTTTGCTAAAGGACGTTAAAAGTCATCAGTGAACATGTGATAGCATTCTAATTCTCAAAGTGTTTACCAGATATGAGCTCATTTTGTTTGTGGGTAATGCAAGTAGCATACAGTATCTGGTAGCTCCATGTTCGCGAAGGATGTATTACTATAGTTGCCAGTGTTGATGAGACTGACGAGCTTGGCAGTCGAGGCACAGACATGTGGCATTGCCGAAGCGGCTGAAAAACACATAAGAACATGCATCGGAGATTCTCATAGGGCCGTCGGCCAAATTTCTGACTGTCAGACATTTGTGGCTGATTTTTCTCTGGGAGCCCCTCTTCTAATTATGGTACAGTGCTTATTGCGGCTTGTAGCGATTGTAGTTTAGTGAAAAAGGTGGACACATTGTTACATTTGTTTCTCAGGATATTGCATCCATGCCGAAGATGTTCGGCCCCACCTAACGTCTCGAGAGCTTGGACAATTGACCTTGGGAGCAAAACAAGAGCGGCCCTTCTGCGAAGCGTATGTGATATGGACGTAGGGAAGAGCTTTCCTCATAAGATCGTCGCTCGCAAGCAAGCTAGTACAGCGCTTTTTCAACTCGCTTCTCATGTTAAGTAGAAAAGACATCACTTTACATTGTAATTGCAAATCGTGAATGCTAGGTACATTTTATCAAGACTGGTTCAAGTTGGAACAGAATGCTGGAAGAACCTTCGCAAGTTCTACTATATGTTACATCTGATGTAACCGAAAGACATAAAGTATCTGCAGGGTAATTTAAAAGCAGATAATGACATGCATTCTTACCATAGCGAACGTGCAGACAAAGCGCACTCACTCAGCCACAAGCGATTTGAGAGCTCCAGCTGCTCAAATGTATGTTGGAAAGCATTTCTTTTTTAGCATATCATCTAGAGGCGGTGACGAGTGCAGCAGCTGTACTGTTCGGCGAAGTAAAGAATGCTATACTTATTTGGCTGAATCCTCCTAATCCAAAGACCCACTCACTGCTCGTTATTGGGCGGAATATGCATGGCCAAACACTTAAAATTCCCCCCGCACATCGAACGGCCAGCAGTGCACAATTTTGCAACAATACATCACTTCCACTATGAACCCCAGAAGGTTATTAGGTGTAAGTAAAAAAACACTGTACCTTAGATGAATATCACCGAAGAAAATCTGAAGCCATTCTGCGTTGGTAATGCCAAACCCTTTGACCGCTCAGTGGCGAATATCATCGTGGCAGGGGAGCATGCTGGGGAATATTTTCAGGCTGCATTTTCTGCGGCTGAGCGATTGGAATTTTTGCACGTGAGAGCTTCTCCGCTCGTTTCGCTTGGCTCCGAGCGGTCTAGAACATGGGCGATGCAACGGTCGCAGTAACCCTATGTTTCATTTCTTGAAATATGTCATGCATCGGCCATTAATTGCTTCACAGGTGCGTGTTGGCGGATCCAATTGGGGTTGCATGTAGGGCTGACCGCATTTGCCAAGAACAAAGCTGAAGAGCCAGCGAGGGTTTAGTATATTTGTTGGTATAGATCATTTCATCTAAATCACTCCGGTGTGTATGGTGTAACCAGCAATAATAAAGCATCAAAGCCTTCTATTTCGGAAACGAATCACACGATGGACTTATCGAGCTTGCACGGAGACCCTCGCAGCGCCCACACACATTACACCCCCGACAGCAAGTCTTACCTTTCATCCAAAGGACCAGACTTGTACTTTGGAGACTCTTACACCTATGCCTCAGATTATTTCGGGGGCCCCTTCCTCGATGACAACCTACACTCCTGTTCGATGATGAAACCGCTGGACGTATTCAGCCCCTGGGACAGTCCATCACCTAGCACGTTTCCTGGTGCAAATCCAACAAGCAGCTCACCATTCGCAGTGAGTGATAGCCACCTGAAAACATGGCCAAAATTCAACTCCGGGGATCTAGCATACGGAAAATATGCTCATGATGCTGAAAAAATCGAAACTCACCACACCGCCGACTCGATACACACCTGCAGTAGCAGTCCCTCATCTCCAGCCATCTCGCCCCAAATAGCAAGGCAATCACGTCTTCCCTCACCCTCGGCTTATCCTCGAACCTTTATAAACGTCAGATCCGAGCCTACAAGACGCAAGCGAGGCCGTCCCCGCCTCCCACCTGCAGCGTCCAAGGTCTCAGTAAGCACCGTTGCAAAGAAAGTCGAGCGGCCGCAGTGCATACCACATACCGAAGTCGAACGCAAGTATAGAGAGAAGCTTAACACGGAGTTGGAGCGGCTACGGCGAGCTGTTCCGTCTTTGCTTCGAGCGGATTCGGATAATGTCATGGGCGGCGCAAGGATAAGTAAGAGCGCAGTGCTGGCAGTGGCAATCGATTACATCAAGGACTTGGAGGCGCAGAGGGATAGTGCCCTGGATGAAGTGAAAAGACTCGGTGGGGAGGTGAAATTTTGAATTAAGTAAATCTGTTCATTGCAGTATTGTTTCGTTTAGAAATCCCTGTCTGGATCTTGTTTTGGGCTTCCATAATCGGTCTCAAGACGATTGTTATACCCATTGGGTGTTTATATTTGCCTATTACATTTGTTGAATGATTGCTGAATAGATGACAGTGGATGTACATACTCAAATATAATTCTGGTCTTATCCTGTCTAGTAGTAATACCGTGCAAAAGCATCACATCGTAGTTGTGTAACGTGAGCTTCCCCTTATGTATAGATCCTTTGCTCTCAGACTAAGTGAAATTTTCTTTTGTACGAACTTTCTTCCAAACACAGTTTGGCATTGTAAATTTGTCGTAATCATACGTTAGAGCGGCCGGACAGGCGGACATCATATTTGCAATCACATTATGAAGTAGCTAGGGGGTATTAACGCGCTATGCAATTTCAGTAGCTTGGGTTACTAAGATTGATCATTATAAGGCTGCGGTTACGCCAGAAAATCATTTTGAATCATCTCAAAGAAAAGTTGTTTTCATGTGCTTGGAATTCAACAAGATACTAGAGGTAAATTTTACCATGTAGCCTGTATTGCATAACAAACACTACACATCAATTCCATTAAATCAGAGTGGATGCCAGGGATGTTTAGGCCAAGAAGAGCAAATGAAGCAAAGTAAGGTAAACGAAGGGTTAAAGAGATCTATGCGGAAAGAAAGTCAAGGAGAAAATGACAAGAACAATCTTTCATGTATCACGCATATCTGGACTACCACGTCAGCGTTTTAAAAACTTTTCATTTTTTTTTAGCAATAATCATTGCGAGTGACTACAAGAAGACAACTTCTTCATGAGGCTAAGTAGTCTTGCGGTGGCTTAGATAGTAACTTTAGCAACGTGAGGTGTTTCTACTTTAATTGCACTTCTACGTCTCGTGTACAAAACTGTTTGGCTTGAGCCACAGGTCGAAAAGATCTCGATTCTGGAGCAACATCTTCAATCAATTAAACTAATGCTGCATCTGACCTAGTGCAAAAGTTGCTTTAAACCGTACGTGTTCAAGGTACTTAGCGGTAATAAAAAATCAAAAAAAAAGCGAGTAAAAGAGATCTCGCAGAAAGCACACTGCCAGATGCTATAAACAAAATTCATTGTGCGTTCTGCTAACGCTAGCGCGGCTTTTGCACAGTCTGATGCGATTTGGGACTGCGGCATGTAGCCTCTAGTAATGTCTAGTTATAGCAGTTAGGCCAAAACAAAGTTCCATGATGATTCGCAGAAAGATTTGTAAATTCTAGGGCATTGTTCTGCTCTTTGCGTCTGTACACTTAGAGTGAATATGGATCTTGTCTGAATTACCAAAGGTTTCGTAGCCTTTTACCACAACGGGAGAGGCCCGGGCCAGCCATATGGTGTACTACTCGATGGGCTATTCTGTTTTGAATTAGAATGTTCTTCCATGTTTTTCATACAACCTACATTAAATTTCAAATGTTTGAGTGACAGAAAAAACCTCGTAATGCGGTGGAATAAAGGCACCTTGCGTGATTGCACATTTATCCTGAAAACGAGACATCATTTAGAGCCGAGGAATCATTTAGCGAGTTTCTGATGTCCAAGTGACACTCTAAGCAAATATCGGCCTTGATGCAGGGGGTTATGCGGGACACAGCTCCCTATAACAACATGTTACTCCATCTCACGGGAAAATCTCCGAGAAGACTGTGATGGTTTCGAATAAAGAGGGTGTGTACAAATTCTTATTCGCCGAGGTCTCAATAGAAGTTGGACTCATTTTCGGCTGAGAAATTCCCCTCGCGATGCAGCTGGCCAATTGGGATAGTTGATTACAGTTGGTTTCCCTACGTTAGGAACCTAAAAGGCTCGGATGGAAGCCACGTTGATTGATTTCCATCTTGCCTGCTTTGACAGTAAACTGTACGATATCCCCTTACGACACAAGGAGCAAGAGAGCCATTAATTCCTTACAATGTCGATTGATAGATTCATCTCACCTTAGCGTGCAGGAATACATCGTACACAAGCCTTGAGTAGAAGATCAGTCTCCAGTCAGACATCATGGTACTAGTAGCAGAAAGGGATAATGGGAAGAGATTAGTAATAGTATGTAGATACTAACTAGCTTTGAAGGAAATCGAGTCTAGCTACGTGGACCAGCGCAAAGTGCGCTATGAAGATGTTCCGCTTTTGGGTATAATACCACGTGACCGAAAACATATGACAAGCAAACCAGCCTCCCAGATACAAGTTTCGATCTCGATGCTCGCATCATTCAACAGTATGCTCCGCGGCCAGCCTCGGCAGGGTCCCACGTGAATGAATCGTCTCACTCAGTCCCAATGGTCTTTCGTCCAGAAGTCTGCCGTCGTTGACTTCATCTACTCTCTTGAAGGCATCATGTACTAATCCTCTCCGGGGATCTTCTTGGTTTCCGTTGCGTACGCTTTTCATCCGACCAAAAGGTGGCGAGGGAAATGTAATGCCGCCAGTTTCTAGTGTGGAAGAAGCAACAGCAGCAGCCGGCGGCTGTGGCGGCGGGGGTAGTCCTTGGCGTGGCAACTCGAGAGACTTACTCTCTTCTGACTCTTGTACACCTAAACGGTGAATTACCGGTCTTTGAGTTGTCTTACTTAGAGTTCTTGTGTTCCTTCTTCGTCTGTGTATGTACCAGGCCAGAGCGACGAGGAAGAGGGTGCCAACCACGGATCCTACAACCGCTCCTGCTAGAGCCGCTGTTTGTGATGATGGCTTTGTACCGGGAAGTACGCGACATACTTGCTTTACCTTGGCATCTGCGCCCATGGGGTCGGCCGCTGCAACCACAGCAGGTGCGAGTTCGTAGTTCGTAGCATCGGGATCGACAATGAGGTAGTTCTGGGTGAAGAAAGGAAAGCCAAGAACTCCTATAGTCACAGATTCTGTTTGATTCGTTACGGCCATGTTAAATACTGTTGCGTTGCTCACTTCGAACACTCCCGCAGAATTGTATGCCCGGGGTCGGTAGTAGAGCTCGGATGCTGGAATTACAGTCTTGTATGAAGCTACCGAAGGCTTTGATGCATCGCCAGCGGGACTGCCCATGTCGGATATCGTAATGGTAATTGTGCCTGCAGGGGCAGGGCTAGTAGGGAGCTCGAAATGGCGTGATGTCTCGTTCCAAACAGCCGTCTTTTCAGCAGCTGCGAGCTTGTCCAACATTGCTTGTGGGAATCTGATATCGGAGGAGAAGGGATCGAGATGTACAGTAAGTGTATCCTTGACATCTTCGAAAAGCGTGGTACTGGTACCACCGACGTCGTAAGTGATGGCGGTGAGTATAGCACATGTAGGGCAATCTGAAAACATAGGAAATTTGGTTGCAGGGCTTTTGAGACGGCTTTCGTCATACCCGCCAATTACCAGCAAGCCGGGCTGTGGCGCGTCTTCTGATTCTGAGCCTGCCCACAACCCGTATGTCCGTGACGAAGCTTGACCTGAATTGACAAGGAAGTTCAAAAAGCTGGAGTCCATTCCCAATGGCAGAGTTGCTCGGAACCCAGGATCATACTCTGTGAAAGAATCCACAGTTGCTAATGCGTGTTAGTGTTGTACCCGTTTGACATCTCTCCCTGAATCACTCACTGTCTGTGGAACCGTTGGTATACATAGGGAGGGCGGGAAACTTATTGGTGGCATTTTTTGGGCCAAAAGCTGCAGCATCGGTAAAGAAGATGTGCGAGTTTCCGGATGCCGTGTTTACAGACTCTCTGCTCCCTGGCCACGCTGCGTAGTCGACCTGGGCAAATGAAGTTGATGCTGCACTATCGTAGATACCGCCTAGTTGGCCAATGCAACTGCTGTTGGTGGCCGATCCACACTCTGTTACGCTGTTGACGAAAGCATTGTCCAAAGATGTCGAAGGCGTTAAGGAAAACAGCTGAGGAGGAGTTCCGATGGCGAAAGAGATGCCTTTGGAAAAGATTGTACCATCAGCAGAGACTGAATGGTTGGTCCACGGCAACAGCAATGGTAGGGAACCATTTGGACAGGCCATTTCCTCCAGTGATTCCCCTCAAACGGGTGAAATTGGTCGTCGTCTACGCTGGCCGTGATGATGATGGTTGAAGTCGAGAATGCTTCGACTTGGCCAGCAGCATTATCATTGCTACGGATTTGTACAGGGATGCGTCCAAAGGGGGAGTGATCTTCACAGCTTGGGCATGGCGACCTGGACTCCTGGATCGGGCGTCGATGGCTGGTGCTTGATAACTCGTTGAGGCAGGAATTCCAATTGGACAAGGCTAGCTGACTAGAGTCTCAGACTCTGTACCTGAACAACACCACCTCACCACACAAGGAAACAGCCCTTGTGGACTTGGGCAGATGGAGCAGGTTTCCATCATCCTCATCCTCATCAGCAGCAGCAGTAGTAGCAGCAATGTCAAGGTTCGGTCCGCAATTCACCCACGCTCTTGTCTAGTTCCTGACGTCATAATCGTGTCGAGGTAGGGCTGACTGGACCAACTGAGCCCGCGGCTCGTGCTTGGTGAAAGCAAAATCTCAAGCATCGCACGAAGGTACGTACGTATGAATGCACCAGGCGGCAGAGTGCTGTGACGAGACGGGCCTTTTGTGGAGAGAGCAGAGTATCGAACATGTCAAGTCGGACCGTCTAAACGTCGCATCGACCCTGAGCCATGCGATGCCCGGCCTGTAGGGCCAATCAGCAGCCTCAACACGACACTAGCGCCAGTCGGGGACAAAGCTCGCTTGCCGCATCCTTCAAGCTGATCTCGGTTGCATTCTCCACTACCACCGCCCATCGTGTTTCCAGCCTCGCAGCCCAAAACGCCCCAGATCGCCCCTCGTTGGCTCGCGTACAAAGGATCGACCTGCGCAGCGCAAGTGCCCAAGGCGACTGCGTGCATTACACCCCTCGCTGCTACCTCTATTCGGCGAAGGCTTGACAGCCAGCACGTCATTTTACTTCGCTCAGGCTCAACTTATTCGACCTCCAGAGAACAAGGCCCTGCTATGCCGCGCTCAGGCGAAAGATATCTTATTTGGAGGATCAATATGTGTCATTTCAGCTCGTTAGCTAGTCAACTTGCATTTGTGCTCAAGACACACTACACTGCACTGTGCTAACAGTCGCAGGTAACGAAGGTATTCAAGTACGTAGTAGATACATCGAAGATGTGGA